ACTAAAGTCTACTTCATCTGTTCTTTTTTTTAAAAGGTGTACAATGGTTAAAGGAAATAATCCTTGAGGGATGGCTAGAGTTGTTGTTCCCCTATTGTTAATCTCCCATCCTATGAAAAGTGGTTGTATTTCTGTTGGTGGGTCATTGAGCTTTTTATAAGATGGTAATGCACACGGAAAAAAATAGTCTCCTTCTTTTCTGTTTCTAACTTCAACAATGATGTGGAGGTGCTTTAGAAGCTTGATCATGTGAGACGATTTAAAATCAACATCAAAAATTTGTTTACCAATAACTTTTAAAAGACTTTCATTAAAGAGGCCAAAATCAATGAGATTATCTCTTTCATCTGCTGAAGGAGGTTGATCTGTAATCAAATGTAGATTAGATTGGTTGATATATGTGATAGCTATCAGACGTGAAAGAACATCAAGAATTGGTTTAGGATCAACAAATATTATATTCGGAAGGACTTCATGAAAATAAAGAATGATAGTGACATTGTGTAAATATTGCAGAGCTTTGTCGATATCTGATTTATTATTAGGCCAGAGATGCTTACCAATTCCAGTTACTTCTTTTTCTGTAAGAAAACTCCGTTCCTTTTTTTTAGCTTCTGTCTGTAGTGCAATCTCAAAAATAAACAATCGAATTGGTACATTAAGTGTCATAGCAACTCTAAAATTTGAAATTGCAGTACAAAGCTCTAAACTAGCTTCTTCTCTTTCCTTAGACCCAGCAGGGAGCAACGTATTAACTGGAAATATAATTGAGCTATTATCCTTGTCATGTGAAATGACTTTTTTGTCAGCGATATACTCTTTGAGACTTTCATTCATTTCTTTTTGCTTTTTCTTTGTTACCAACTCTTTACGTGTACCAAGTATGAGGTAATGAGGGTGGGGGGGCATGTAAGAGACATAAGGAATTTTAGCTGGCTTCAACATAGCTTCGGAGCTAATTGTCGAGCGAATTATATCGAGATTAGAATACTGCAGCTTTGTCTTAATAGGGAACGTATTTTGACTAATACGATAGTGAAACTCACACTTCTTCTCATCAAGACCTTTGGTAAGATCAATGGTGATGATATTCAGTGCAGCTGCTCTTGTAAAAAGAGGTAGCAACTCTCGATATGCTGGTTGACCACCAGAATCAATAAAATAAACCCAATTTTTGCATAATTTTTTAGATTTCTTGACAGCAAGTAATATTTTTTCAAAAACTTCCTTGTAATTTGTCTCAGCTGATCCATTCTTGGCTGGTTCACTCTCAGCTGATTCACTCTTGGCTGATCCATTCTCAGCTGGTCCATTTTCGGCTAATCCATTTTTGGCTGATTCATTCCTGGCTGATCTATTCTCGGCTGATTTATTCTCAACTGATCCATTTTCTGCTGATCCATTCTCTGCTGATCCATTCTCGGCTGATCCATTTTCGGCTGATCCATTCTCGGCTGATCCATTCTCGGCTGATCCATTTTCGGCTGATCCATTTTCGGCTGATCCATTTTCGGCTGATCCATTTTCGGCTGATCCATTTTTGGCTGATCCATTCTTGGCTGATCCATTTTCAGCTGATTCATTCTCGGCTGGTCCATTTTCAGCTGATTCATTCTTGGCTGGTCCATTTTCGGCTGATCCATTCTCGGCTGATCCATTCTCGGCTGATCCATTCTCAGCTGATCTATTCTCGGCTGGTCCATTCTTGGCTGATCCATTCTTAGTGGGTGATTTCTTCAGTGATTCAGGCAATTTTTCAGACGTTGGTTGATCCACTTGTGCAGATGCCAGCTGATTAAGTAATTCTCTTTCATCAACCCTCTCCCACTTTTTATTTTTATCATCAACAGATAT